AGCGCAATGACAATACCAACATGGGCCAGTGATGCGACATCCTCCACAACTAGACTGAAGAATAAAAGGACAGCAACTTGTCTGTTCCCCTTTCCCGATTCCCCAACGCTGTTCCCTCCCCCCAATTCCCCAATAAAATCTTAAAAAAAAAAGAACCTGGTAACAGCAAGGCTGTGTGAATACTTCCTGGGGAGGACAGCAGCTAGCCTTTGATGACTTAGCCAGGAGGAAGCCTGGGGCATAAGTTCCTCACCTCGGTCTCCCCACCACTCCCTGCTTCATTCGCCAGAGACAAGGGCAGGCACCTCTGGCCCACAGCAGGGTGCATGTGGAAGAGGGGTTTGGGATCAGCGCACGACCTTGACTCCTCAGGACACAAGTCACCAAACCAATCTGGGCATCGAACTGCTTTGATCTATAAAATAAGAGCAATCGTCTCTCTTCTGTGATTTGCAGAGGTTTACTCATACATGGCAACACTTACTGCAAATGTCAGCTGCATATACACGCGTGGGGCGGTGGGTGAAACTTAGGCTGGTAGGTCCTCATTCCCATAGGCGCACCTGGGACTCAGCGCAGGGGAGCGTTTCTTTCCTGTCCGTGGGACTCTTCCAAAGAATTCTAAGCCCCGCCGTCTGGCCAGCAGCGGCAGCCGCGGAGCTGGGCAAATGCCTGCCTCTAACCAGTAGCTTCCCACGGGCTGAGTGGCTCCTTCGAACCCCGGGGGAGAAGGGGGCGCTTCGGCAGCCTAGACACCTGGGAGACTTGGACGGCCCCATGAGTTCCGGGACGCGCGGCGGGGGAGAGGGTCCCACATAAGCCCAAGCGGAGCGACGAGTCTCCCGCCCTGTGTGCTGGGGAAACCTTCCGGCGGCGGCAGCCCCAATCTTCGCCTCTGAATCCCTGGCAGCTAGCAGAGCGCCCCCTTGCGGGCGGGCATTGGAGCCGCCGCCGGGATCGCGGCCCTTCACCTCCCGCCGCTTGGAGGAGGGTACCGGTTCCGGTGACCGGAACTGGGCTCCAAGCCACCGGCTCCGGCAGCCCTAGGAAAAGCGACCATTGCGGTCCCGCAGGAAGTAGTAGTGGGGCTTGGACCAGAGACACAGCGGGTCACCAGGCGGCGCTGGCAGGGGGCGCGAGCAGCTGCAGGCGCCTCTCCTCCTGAGCCCAGAATCAGAGAAATTTAAGGCGAAAATATCGCAGGGATCTTTTGGTCCAAGTCTCCTATTTAACACTTGGGGAATTTTAGGGCCAGAGAATTACCTGTCTGGAGTCACACAGCGGGTCGTTGACAGCAGGACCTGGGGTAAAAGGAAAAGGAGATGGTCCCCTGAGGTGGCCCTGTCCCTTTCCAAAGGAGAGGGCCTGCCTGCCGGATTAGAACCCTCAGGGACCGCAGGTGAGCAACCCAATTAGCTAATCCCAAACAAACCAAAATAAAACAAACCTTACAGGTGTGCTGGAATTGAATTCGCTCCTTTCTAGATTTTCCGTTGCAAGATTTTCAAATGTTTATCAGAGATAAACCTTTCTCCCAGTTTGGGTGAATGCGCTTTACTAAAGGACAGGCTTGGGCGTGGGGGGACCCTGTACTGCAGAACAGTGGTAAGTGCAGAGGCGCAAACTGGGTTTACGGTCAGCTTCGCCACCAACTCTGCCTAGGGTTGAGCCTCAAGTTCCGCATCTGCAGAATGGAACGATGGGAGAGATAGTGTTTGCCAAGGGCAGCCTGCAGCGGATTTGGGGGCTCAACCTGGGTCTGGGGTGCGCAGTCCGCAGACCAGCCAAGTGGGCGGAAGGGTCAAAGCGTGCGGCAGCCGCTTCACAGCCTGCGGGGTTCGGCTCAGGCTCCAAATGACCCGCGGACCTTGGGCTGCGGAAGTCCCTGGGCGCTGCGCACGCCGCGAACTCCCTCATTGTTCTCGCTGCTGGGGTTTGAATGCGCGCTGGGTGGACGCGGACGACGACTTGGCTCTGGGGTGCTGGGCTCTGCGGAACACTGGGCAATTTCCGATGCCCACGTCTTTGCTTCCACTCCCTCCCTTCACCTCCCGAGAAAAAGATCCTAAATGTATCCGGGAGCCTCCATTTCTAATTGTTCACTTTTTTTTTTCTCTTTTACACAAGACTTTGCTAACCCTCAGGGCAGAGACCATTTTTATTAGGATTATCAAAATCACCGGGCCTAAAGTTTAGCCACATGGGAGCCAAGATTCTTCTGAACACATACAAATCATAAACCACTACCACCCTCCGCTCCCCCCCCCCACAACCCAAAAAAGTCAGTAAGCTCATATGCCGCCTAAACATCAAAGACAGTAACAATTTTCCCCCTTAATAAGGTGATTTTTAAAGACATGCCCTTCGGAGACACCGTTAGCGTCTCACATTTCCAAAAGACAAAGTCCGGATAATGCTCAGAAATATATTCTCATGGTTCAGAATAAATAAATAAATAAATAAATAAATAAATAAATAAATAAATAAATAAATAAATAAATAAATAAATAAATAAATAAAAGGATAAGTTACTTCTCTAAAAAAACTAACATAACATCCGAAAGAAAAGAAGTTAGAAAGAAATTCTCCAGCTGGAAAAAGGGGAAAAGAAAAGCTGGAAAGAAATTCTCTCTGCGAATATAAAAGGGGAAGGAAAAACCCTTTATCTAATTTATTTGCCCCTCAACAGTATTGTTGGAAAATATCTTGGGCTGAAGGCAATTAGTTACAAAGAGGTGGCACGGAGCACAGCTGGGGCGCGTCGGACCGGTTGTGACCGCTGGGTTATCAGAGCCCTCCTGGGTTAACGCCGCCGCTCTCTAGCACATTTTCGAACCCGGGGTGCTAACGGCCCACTGGCCTCCTCAGTGTTCTCCAGGCGCAGTGGACCCAGACCCGGGGTAGGGCTTCGGGACTCAGGACACTTGGGGACATTTACTCAGGAAGGAAGCGAGAGCGCGCGAGGATGGCGGCGGAGGCTAGCCTGGAACAGCGCTACGGAGGGACCAGGGCTCAGGTTGCTTTCGCCGCTCCCACTTGCGCGGAGGGTGAAATGCAACGTAGGCGGCGGCACTCCTGAGCCACCTCGTGGGCCACACGCAACCCGCTGGAGCGCGATTGGGTCTGAATCCCAAGAAGCGTTCTATCCCGGAACAGCGCGCAGCCGGGCATCGGAAGCCCGCTGGCCGCGCTGGAGCCAGATTGCGGCATCGAAAGCTTGCTGAACACCACTGGGATGAACTTGAAATCCTGAGCTTCCGAACTCCACGCGCAGGGACAAGAAAGCAGCAGGATGCAGCACCTTTCGCCCGCGCTTTCCCCATCCAGCGATTACAGTTCCTCCGGAGCTCAGCTCCTCAGCCCCCGCTTCCGCCCCCGCCCCGGCCGGATATTTTTTCCGAGAACAGGGGACAGCGGCTTCGAGTGGACTTTTGACTATTAAATAAGTGCAACTCAATGATCGATTTGCTCCCAGTTGACGTTTGACTTAAAAAAAAATCGGTGGGAAACAAACATCACCTAATAATTAGTGTAGCAAGGTCAGCAAACCAAACTGTATCCTAAATGAAGGAAAATATTGGCTTTATTAATTATTCAGGGAAAAGGGAAGATTGAACATTTTCTTAAACTTAGCATCTCCTACAAACTCACATCCGGACTAAACTTTCTACACGTGACTTTCACATTCACTTTTCTACCAGGAAACTTTTAACCAGCCTTTATCTCCTTGTTAATTTCTCCCACCCCGCCCCCCACCTTACCCCAGGGGTTTGGGAAACTAGGGAAGATTTTTTTCCCTGAAGATAGTTTACTCCGATTCCAGCTAACCGGCAGCATTAGAGAGATCAATTCCCGGCAAATAAGAAGAAAAGCCTTTTTAAAAAAGAATAATAGACAGCGATTTCCAAATATGTTTTCCACTTGAACTTCCTAAACTGGTGCCTGTCCCGGAAAGGTATCTGAGTCCCCAGCGTGGGATGGGATTGTTTGGGGGCTGCATGCATGTCCGGCCTGACTCTAGCTCCTCCAACCCCCTCCCGACTGCACAAGACACACACACACACACACACACACACACACACACACACACACACAAACACACATCACGAGCCCACCCACGAAACATCTGGATGGGGACTCGCGTCCCGACATATGGGCAACTTCAGCCAAGGTTGGCTCCGGGAAGAGAGTGAGGAAAGGCGCGCGGGTGCCGAAGCGCACCACTCAGTGGGGTCTGTCCCCTTCCAGCGCTAGGTCACGCCAGCATCCTTCCTACCATCTACTCCTGTCACCAGCCTCTGGCTCCGCCCCTCTGATCCCACCCCTTGTACTGCAACCAGTAGCAACCCCGAACCACTCTCCACCGCCCCAAACCTTTCCACACCCCCACGTCCTAGGAGCTGGTTGGCTGCTGAACCCTCAGCGAAGCCGCTGTATTTGCATGGTGCTGCAGGTTTCTGGTAGGTGGAGTGACCTGTCACTCCTGGTGGCCGGACCCGCCTACTCCACCTCTGTCTCAGACTCTTCCTGCGCAGTTCTCCTTCGCAGCCTCTGCGAGGAAGTGCCGGGGCTGCTCTCTGGCTCCATTCGCAGGGCTGCGAGGAGGCAGCCCCGGCGAGCAGCAGTGCGCACCGTCCGGAGTGGCCAGGGAGCGAGCGGGAGTGCAGCGTTCTTCTCCTGACCCAGAGCGGGGCGTCGCGCCGCAGGAGCGGTCCGCAGGCCAGCAGTTGCCGCCACCCGACTTTCGTGCCAGTTGCGGCTCCTCCCGGGCAACATGTCAAAAGCCGCCGCCGCTACAGCTGCCGCCGCCACCTGGGGAAGAGCAGCAGCAGCAGCAGCAGCAGCAGCAGCAGCAGCAGCAGCAGCAGCGGTGGCCGCGGGCGCGCGGGGGCAATAAGCCGAACCACCGGGCGTCCGGAGGGCCAAAGACCCCTCTCCGCGCTCCCTGTTCCGGCGGGACCCGCGCCATGTGCTGAGCCATGCCCCTCGCAGCGCCCGCGGGCAGCGCATGGGGCAGCGCCTGAGCGGCGGCGGATCCTGCCTCGATGTTCCCGGCAGGCTCCTGCCTCAGCCGCCGCCTCCGCCACCGGTGAGGAGGAAGCTCGCGTTGCTCTTCGCCATGCTTTGCATCTGGCTCTACATGTTCTTGTACTCGTGCGCCGGTTCGTGCGCTGCCGCACCGGGGCTGCTGCTGCTGGGCTCTGGGTCGCGCGCCGCCCACGCCTCGCCGGCCCTGGCCACCGGTCCCGATGGGGCTTCTCCCAGGCTGCCGTTCCAGGCGGCGCCAGCCACCCCGTTTGCTGCGGTCAAGGACACGGCCGACGGCGCCGGGAGTCAGGAGGAACAGAGTCCCGAGGCGCCGGACTCTTCCAGCCCCATCTCCAGCTTTTTTAGTGGGTCCGGGAGCAAGCAGCTGCCGCAGGCCATCATCATCGGCGTGAAGAAGGGTGGCACGCGGGCGCTGCTTGAGTTCCTGCGCGTGCACCCCGACGTGCGCGCCGTGGGCGCCGAGCCCCACTTCTTCGACCGCAGCTACGACAAGGGCCTCGCCTGGTACCGGTGAGTTTCCGCGCCCGGGCAGGGGGCGCCAGCTGCGATCCAGAACGGGAGGAGGGAGACGTGGCATGTGCTGGGGAAGTGACAGGGGTGCAGCCTGGGACCACTGGGGTCGGGGAGGGGCAGAGAACCAACGCGCGGGGCTGGCCAGCAGCTCTGAGAATCCCGCCCCAGAGCGGTACCCGGTGTGCACCACCTTCGCCCCCCCGCCGCGCCACAACCCATAGAAACTTCTCGAGGAGTTCTGGCTGCTCAGTGGCCCACGATACCCTAACACTAATCAGGAGAGCGCTACTCAAAGTGGGGACCGCGACTGAGACGGCGCTCAACCTTCTAACTGCGGCCGTGTCCCAAACGAATTAATCCAGTGTTGCTCGTATTTTATTCTTCCTCTCTATGCCTGGGACATTCTGCGCCCCGCCGGCCAGGGTAGACCGACTTTAAGAATAGCTTCTGCTCCCCAGATGGAGATGTGGGGGGTGGGAGTGACCGCGTCCTATTCAGGCTGCAGGGAGTCTGTTCACTTTTCTGGACCCCGAACCCGCAGAGGGTCAAACTCTTCGCTAGCGAGCAGCTCCGGCTGGGAGGGTAAACTGGGCGGGGTGGTCCCTGCGCCTCCGACTGGCGGACGGGTGGCGGCGGGAGGCGGGCGGAGCGCGGAGCGTGGAGCGGTGCTGGTCTCTGTCGGGCAAAGACTAGCACTGCAGCAGGCGGGAGCAGCGCGCAGCTTTGAAGGGTTCCCCGCGCGTCCCGCACGGCCCGCCGGTTCCCGCCTCCCCGGCCTGGGTGCTGGGAGAGCAACGACTAGATCTTGTGTCTCCTCGGGCCCTTTACACTTCGGGGCGCAAAGAATATTGGGGGCCCACTTATTAAGAAATATGGGTTGTCCCGAGGTCGCGGCTTCCGGAAACTTGGTTTTCGAGTCGCGTTGTGGGTCCTGCTCCAAAGGGACAGCGGCTCTCGGGGTCATAATCACGACCTCTACCCAACGCTTCCCGCATTGCGGGTCTTTGGGGTGAGCTGTTTAGGTTGACCGAGCTTCCGGTGAGGCGCTGGTGGGCAGAGGGTCCAGACTCCCGCCTTCGGAAACCTAGTTGCCAACCAGGGGCCCGGCCACCGGCCCCCACCCCTTGTACCTGGTCACCCCACACACACACCCTCACAAGTAGGACTCATTTGACTTCCCGGCACCCCTCCAGGCCCAAACAGCCTGCAAGAGGCTCGAGACTTCGGAAAGCCAAAGGGAAGAGTCGAAGCGAGCTCCACTCCCTGCCCCCACACCCCCATGGACCCCAGGAGAGGATGGAAGATAAAAGGGGGCTGAGCCAGTGGATTAAAACCTCTCTCTTCCCAGCCTCGCCCTCCCCCTCTCTTTTGTCCTTCAGGTTTTTATTATTGTCAGCAGTTGCCCAAGTCTCAAGGTTTAGCCAGCCGTGACAGTCACCCGTCCCACCGTTCCCGGGCAGTGGACGCTGGCTGTTAAATCTAGTAGTCGGACGCCTAGATTATCGTCCTGGCTCTGGCAGTTCGCTAATGGGGCCAAGCCTCAGTGCTCCCCTTGGTCCATGGAATGGTGTGGTTCTCCGCAGGGAGAGGACGCGGGAGTGCACTGAGGCGTTCAGGTGCCTGGCTGGCACTTGGGGAGACTCTCTTAACTGTTAGCTATTGTCTTCAATTGTATTGTTACTACTTCTACCACCACTTCTCCTCCTGGGATGCCGATCCTGGGCCCGGGGTGGCTGGCGATCACTAGCGCCCTTCCAGGTGGAACCCGCCAGAGGCCGGAGGCAGCCCGGAATTTTTCTGAGATCAGACACGCGGGGGACCGGGCTGGGAGGAACTGGCAGGAAACTAACTGAATCCTTCACGGCAAGCGGTTTTAGAAGCACCTGGGGTAGACTGTGGAAATCCCCACAGGAAGATTCAGGCAGTCTCTTAGGCGGCTGCCCTCCACCTGCTACGTTCCTTTTGATTGACTCAAAAACGCTGAATAAAGAACGAAGTCGCTCTGGAAACGCTCGCAGCACGCCTGCAGCCGTGAGCGCAGCCGGGAGCCTCGGGCAGTACAGGCGCCCCAGGGCGGCGTAGTTAGCGGGGCCGCTGGACTTGGGGGCCACGGGGACTGGGCCGGGCCGCTGGAAGCGGGGAGTTCCTCAACCGCTCAAGCCATCTCCCTGAATCGAAGAGCCAGGCTGTCGGGGCCAAGAGGCCCAGGGCCCCCGGTGGTGACCCCGCGGACCCGGCTACGGGAGGAACAAACCGCTAGCACCACAACTCTTCCCAGACTCCGCGGTCTCCCACGGCTCAAGCAGCGCCGGGTGTGGCCACGGGGTTAGTGGATTTTTTAAGGAAAAAAATATCCATGTTAAATGCCCTTTGCTTACTTAAAAAAATTTAATTAGTGAAGAATCTTCTGGATGTCTGAGTAAATGTGTGGACTTAGAATTATTTTGAAAGCAGAGGTTTTAACTATAAACAACCACATCGGGAGGAGACGCCTGACCCAGAAAGCTTTTACTAAAATCCCGTGCCCAGGGAGTACTCTTCGCCCCCGCTGGGCCAAGCGCTGCTGCCCGCCAGAGTTGCATCTCTGTTGTATCTCCCGCGCCGCCCTTACGGGCAGGCAGCAGATTGGAGAGGAGCACAAACAGTAATTAACCTGAGAGAATTGCAGTTCAGACACGTGGTTAAAACAAGTCCTCATAACGAGAAAATAGGAGAGAGGGGAGACATTTTGAAAGCATTTAGACATTTTGAAGTCATTAATCTGTAGGCACGGATGGTTGAACTCGAGGGTCAGCATCGTAATCCGTTGGAGAAGGAGATCTTGGCTGCGCCTGTGCGAGTCGTTAATGTGTTTAATCGGTTGGTACACAGTCCTACTAGTGGCCTAACCAGACTGAGCGGATTTGCATGAAGTCAAAGAAATTGCTTGTAGTTCCTTACACGGTCACCCTTAGGCAGAAGAGGTGGGATTGTGGTGGGAAAGGAGCCCACAGTGGTGGTGACTCTGAGCTGACCTCGCCACTGGCCAGAGAGCGGAGCTTTCCCCCTGACTTATCTGCGCAAAAATCAAACACGCTGGTACACGAGGCCCATCTGCCCTGGAACCTGAGTATGTTTTAGTCTGGGATTAAGACTTGTGAGTTTACTTTTCTTGTTTATTATCCAGCTATTTTTCTTGAACCAGGCCTCCCAAACTTGTCAGGTGCTGGTGAGCACCCCAAGGAGTGACTTATCAGGACTTTGGGTGAAACTGGCCTTTACCTTCTATTCCAGGTCGCGATGGTGTTGGAGAAGTCTGGGCCTGTGGTTCTGGGGGGGCCTCACCCATGCCAGCTTGGGAAAAGCACACACCCTGCACATTTAGGTTCTGAATATGGACTGAAGCTTCAATTAAATAGATATGTTCTTTAATATTAAAGTCTCTCGTTTTGGTTTGGCATAAATTTGGTAGATTTTCACAAATTTTAATGACCTCAGTTTGGGAATTAGGTTAGCCAAATACTATGATTGTTAATTTTTATATAGAACTATGCCTTAGACTTTACAGTGGCAGAAACTCTTTCCCTGCCTTGACTCTTCTTTTCATTTTTGGCTGTACAAAATAAGCTGACGCTTTAATGCTGTGTCCACATTTTTTTAAAACCGTAGTGTAGTGTTGTGTGTGTGTGTGTGTGTGTGTGTGTGTGTGTGTGTGTGTGTGTGTGCACGCGCGCTAATAATATTGGTAGCTAGCACTTACTGAATGTTTTCCCAATGTGCCAGGCGCTGTTTCAAATTTACAGGATTAGCAAATTTAATCCTCATTACAATCCTGTGAAGTAGTTACTTTTTATAGATGATAAAACACAGGCACAGAGAGGTTAAGCAACTTGCCCAAGATCCCTCAGCTAAAAAGTGGCAAAGCTATAATAATATGCCAACGCAGGCAGTCCTGCTCCAAAGGTCACTCTGCCATGCTTCATTGCTTAAGTGACCAAAAACTTGATGTTGGTCATATATCATGAGTTCAAGACTGGATTGCTTTAAAAGAGTTTGAGTTCTCTGATGTACCTCTAGTGACCTCAGTGTGGATTGCTCACTTTGTCATTCACTTTAAAAGAATATCAGCTTCAGAACAAGCTAGCTGCTATGTCCAAAGTTGGTTTATGACTAAAGTGAGAATAATTTCATCATTATGGCAGTTTGGTTTCTCTGCCTGCAATGGACAGTTAGATTCAAAGGAATCATTAAAATGACAAAAATATCCCTCAAGTATAAAGTCTGAAAAAACATAGGGAATGTCCTGTGAATATACTGAGAATAGATTTATTCTCATCCATTCCCCCCTTTTTAAGGCTGGGAGGTTTGGGAGGACATAGTGTTAAGAGAGATGTTTCAAAACTTCTTCGAAGAAATTTATTCATTTAAAAGAAGTGGGGTGCCCCAAGAAAAGAATGAAAACTTGTACTTATTAACCAGAAGACAATTGTAATTAACACTTTGAGTAGCTTTCTTTAGAATTAGATTCTAAAACCCAGTAACTTCAGCAAATCTCTCTTGAAAACTAATAGCTGAAAATAGCAACTTTTCCTACATTTTTAATTTCATAAATGCTGAGAAAACTTATCTCTCTCCTACTTTCCTAGTCTATTTCTAAAAACTTGGTGGCAAAGGCTTTCTGTCTTCACTGAGGGAAATTTGAGATAAGATCTGATTGTGGATAATCCTTTTTGAAGTAATTGCACTTTCTCAGTCCTGGAGTTTAAACCAAGTATGTAACTCACTTCAAGCTCCTGGGTGAAGATCAAAAATCTACATTTATATGCAACAATTTGAAATACAAACCGTCATGTTACAAAGCTGTCAAGATTTATTAGCAAGACAGTGTAGCATGTGTTGAACTCTGTTTTTAATTAGGCACCTAAATTAGACCATAAAATGGTTGATTAATCTTTTACAAGTTGAGGGGGAAATGTAACATAAATTAACCTAATCATAAGTGTTTTCCCAGATGCTCT